CTGTCTGCCTGCCTCTCTTGTGTCCCCACTCCAACACGGACTCTCGCTCTTTCACTCTTGCCTTCCTCCTTCCCACCAAGAACCTCTTGCACTAAATCTGTTGTGCCTGGTTTGCTTAGTGGCATACCTTGGCAGAACCTGCTGAAAGGTACCTTTCTTTTTTATTTATCATTACAAAGTAGACACCTCAGCTGTTTGTCTGTTCGAAAACCTAATATCCCAATCTTTTTGTTGATAATAAATAAAAGAAAAAGGGTTGTAAGGTCTTTTATATGACTACTTCCTGTAGAGATTGAGGCATCATTGTTGGAGGTGGGGATCAGGAAAGCTGGAATGCTGGCCATTGTTAGGGTCCTGGAGAAGTCCCACAAAAGACCACCACCTACATATGGAATCAGCAAGAGTGTTTAGTATTTTGAGAATAAAGGTACCAGCATGCTGGGGCTGCACATCTAACACAAAGGCAAAATGGCAAGCCCCCAAGAAAAGCTTTTATACACAACAAAACAGGCTCTTTTATACACAACTAAAGGAATTCTAAAGGAAGTGACATAATTCTATCTAGGATTGGCTTACCCAAGTGACTATCATATTGCACATTTCTAATTGGTTAGAGCTAGCAGGGGTGGGCTAAGGCTATAGCTTTTCCTTTCTTGGGCAAGTCTGGACAAGTCCCAGGCTTTGTCCTTATTTGGTTATTGCCTTAACACACCAGGTGGGGAAAGGAAGTTGGCCCTGACCTAGTATGTGCAGTTCTCCTCATCCTTAATTTTGGTGGCATTGGTGATTGATTGGCCTTTGTTTCCATCTTTCTTAGAAACTGTCTTGTTTAGTTTCACAAGGCAGGAATTGAGGATTAGTTTTTAACTGAGTTATTAGGATTCTGTCCCAGGGCAACCTGACTCAGCCACTATTCAATCACCCCTGTAACAATATAACAATATAAAGAGATTTCTATTAAGAGGTGTGCTCAACTGTGACTGGGAAAGTTGCAAATGTTCCAGGGAGGACCACCGTGACCTGTATGCATTCCCACCCTGATAAACCCCCTTGAGGTTTCAAGAAAAATGTGCACACTGACGTAACTGTATCCCCCTCTGTGATCACTCTGTAACCAGACAATGATTTTATGAAATTAGCTTCTAGACATAAATCAATCAAAGTGACATTGTATGGGAATTGTAATCTTGCGGGTTTTGTGGGGTTTTCCTTTAAAAGCCCTTATGGGGCTGCAGTAAGATGCGACTCTTGCTCTTTGGAGCAGAGTTTGCCCATCTGTATAGATGTTTCTTTAATAAAATCCTCGTGCTGTTGCATCAACTGGACTGGAGTCTGGGTTCTTGGGGCACCCACCTGAGACCCTAAATTTTGGGATCCAACACTCTCACCCAATGTGAGGTTGAACTATTGACCTTGTGTACATCCTACTTCACAAATGAGTCTGTCAGATACGCTAAGCCTATAGGCTGAAGATGATGCCCCAGCACTGCGGAGAAACCTCTGGTGACTGTCCAGGTAGCTGGCTGTTTCTGTCAACTCACAAATTTTTTGGAAGTTGCTTGCATGCACTTCCTGTTTTTATTTTTGTTAGCTAATATTATTTCCTTCTTGGGTCTCTGAGGGAGTTGAAGATTAGTTAGTTATAGTTGAAGACTAGTTAGGATAGAAAGTGAATTAGGTACATTTTGGACTTACCAAAATAGGATAGATGATGGAATTATTTTCTCTGAATTTGTTAAATAAAAATGGACTAGACATTGTTTAGATATTTATGACTTGTATATATTGTATATAGTCATTGTACTTTTGTATATAGTTTTTCTTTTGTTAGTTATAACCTTTTTCTTTTTTTTCTTTTTATTAAAATAGAAAAGGGGAAATATGGTGGTATTTTACTTGTACTGAAATGTGATTTTAATTGTATGTTAATAAATAAAGTTGCCCGGGGGTCAGAGTTATTAGAGCCACAGCAAGAGCATGGCGGTGGTGGTGTATGCCTTTAATCCCAGCACTTGGTAGACAGAGCTAGGTAGATCTCTGTGTTTTCAAGGATACAGCCAGCATTGGAGACACACACCTTTAATCTCAATACCAACCATAGAAGACCTGGAATTCTCTACAGACAGGCAGTGACGAGGCAGTCATGTGTTTGGGTTTACAACCAATGAGAAGGCAGAACAGCTAGACTATATAAAGACATACACACAGGAAGTAGGTCCCTTTCAGAGAGCTCTCTTGGCTGAAGCAGGAAGGGTAAGGCTCTTAGTTCTGACCTCTTGGCTTTCTTCTCTGATTCAGCTCTGTGTTTCTTATTTAATAAGATGGTTGGTTGCATCTATAGAACTATACAAACATAACATTAATTCACTCAAGTAACATAAAAATTTTTTTTAAATTGTATAGACTGAGGAATATTAATTCTCCCTTTTCCTTATAATTTTTTAAACTAAATCTGAAGCCTACTTAGAAAAAAAAAACTTCTCTATTTAAACAGTTCCATTTTTCAGTAGTTCCATTTTTACATAAACAGTTCCATAAATCATCAGAGTTGATAGATTGTGTATGTGTAATTAAATTCAAACTGTCCCATTGTAATGAAATCACTACTGTCCATTTCATTTATTAAGTTCAAAAGTTCAAAAAGAGTTCTGGTACCAGGCCTAAAAGTTCCTCTGAGCACTCAAAATCAGGGCCTGGCTTGGCAGCTGCCCTTAAGTCTTTGTATACCTGTCAGAGTCATAATGACTCTGAAGCAAACAGCTCCAAATATGAGGAGTCCCATATCCAAAATTTTTTTGAGTTCAAGCAAGCCTCTCTGAAACATTCACTCTCAGCTACCACTGTGCTTTGCAGTCTGTAGCCTTCTGTAATCAGGCATTCTCAGGACCTCCGTGTCCTGAGGCTAGTGAGCTTCATCTCATGCCACACTCCAGCTGCTATGAGCTGAGCTGTGGCTTTCCCACAGCAACCCTGGTTCTGGGAGGGTCCCATTACCTGCTTCACTAACAGTTGACAGTCCAGTGTTCAGCACCCTGTGTCCCACAATCCTCCATACACTCTCCCATTGCACCACCAAATGTAGCCCTAGGGCAACTCCATGGATCCAGCCACAACTTGCTGCTGGGATCTTGGCTGTGTTTCAGCACTTCTTACAGAGTCCTAGTCTGGCTGTTCAGTCTGGAGCATTCAGCAGTTTCCAAAGGGCCCTGGTCTGTTTAGCCTGGAGTACAGCTCTTACCTCCAACTTTCTGGGCTCCTGCATGTCTCAGGTGATCATCCTGTGCTAACTAACATTGTTCTGCTCTAGGCCTCTAGAAGCAATCTTGTCTCTACAGTCTCCATTGCTGCTCACCATTCAGGTTTCCAGAAGCAAACCGCTGGGCTCTTCAAGCCACTGCCTGCCCTTCACTTTTCTCACAGCATTGCATCACAAAGGTTGCAGAACCTTGCTGCTCTCACTGTCTCAGGGGTCTGCCACCTGTGCTGTGCTGATGCCTCGTGGGTCTCAGCTACACTTGTTTTGTTGCTGTTTTCTGAAGCTAGCAATCTCTGAAGCTGTTTTTTGCAGTTGTTATTGGTGGCTTTTAGACCTGCAAAGTTTACAGTCTGCTATGGATGCTGTTTTCTGTGTCCCCGGTTCCTTCACCATGTAATGTCTCTATTAAACCTTCACCATGTCCCCAGACCTAAAGCCTATATCCTTATGCCTAAAGCTTATGCTACCCTAATTCTATATTTCTAATACTAAATTTATAAACCTTACTTATGTATTACTTAAGCCTACACAATATATTTACATTGTATACGACTACTTTATAAACCTTACCTAAGACTTACTTAAGCCTACACAATATCTTTATGCCTGAAGCTTATTCTGTCCTAATATATAAACCTACATTTCTATGATTTACTTTTTTTACACTTCTTATTTAAACTTATATTTACAACTAGCATGACAATTTACTACATGTATTTACAATAAGCATTTAGACTCACATTTAACATTTACACATTTTACAAACTCACAATCAATATATATATATATATATATATATATATATATATATATATATATATATATATATATATATATATATATATATTGCTTTTTCAAGATAGGGTTTCTCTGTGTAGCTATGGAGTCTGTCCTGGAACTTGTTCTGTAGACCAGGCTAGCATCAAACTCACAGAGATTCACTTGCCTCTGCCCTCTGTGTCCTGGGATTAAAGGCATGCACCACCACCACCTTGCTTATTTATACTTCTTAAAAGCTTCTATTCTTAAGGAAACTCTATAGAACTACCTTAGCAAAGATACTTCTTACTCTTAACAGGACTAACTTACACTAGGAAGAACCTCTTAGAAAACTTTCTATAGGGCTACCATTAGCAAATAACTAACTTAGCAAACACCTGAAATAGATTTCTTTACACCTAGAAGAGATTTTAGGTTATCTTCCAACAAGACAGTGAGTAATTTTCTTTGGACTTCATTTAGGAAATAAAAATATAAAAGTAAACTGTTATCAAACTCAAAAAGAGAATGAGAAGAAAAATCGTCTAAGGAACATTCTGTTTCTGAATTGCTCACCTAGCCACTCCACAATAGTCAATTTCCCATCAGGAGAAGATAATTGTCTAAGTTGAAGTTGTGTTTCAGACCTGCATCATTCAGCAAGCTCCCCTGTTAGACTATTCGCCTTGAAAGCTTAATGTATTTCTTAGTGACTTCAGTGACCTTATAGGTAGATATTTGTCATCCAGCTACCATGAAAAACACTCTGTGAAGCTGTGAGGCAACATAAGGCATTTTCTCCAAGGTGCCTGTATAGCCAAAAGCAGTGCAGCTCCAAGCTTTATATCCTTTTCAGCTTTTTTTTTTTTTTTTGGTTTTTTGAGACAGGGTTTTTTCAGCTTTTCATTGGAGCTGAAATTCAACAAACTCTCAGACAATTTTCCTCCTTCTTAATTTTTTAAAACGTGTTTATTAAGTTTCCTATGAGCATTTTTAATCATATCAGTGTTTCTCTGGAATCTTAAACAAAACTCAATCTCATAAGCTTTTTTCATTTTAACTATCTCCTGGGAAGCAAGCTGTTTGTTTTCTCTCAGATTTTTGGGAGTCCTTCTCCGTCTCTGGTTCCTCGAGCTTTGATCTCCAATCCCTATTCCCAAATTTCTCCTTCTGTTTAAACTCTGTCTGCCAGCCCCATCTATCCTTTCTCCTGCCTTGCTATTGACCAGTTCTTTATTACACCATCTGGTGTTTTAGACAGGCACAGTAACACAGGTTCACAGAGACAAAAGGATCAGTACCCTCTCTAGCCACCAGCCTAACTCCAGGTCCACCACATACAACCTCTTGCCTTCAAAAAGAAGACACTATGTAAAATATGATCTCATTTTTATAAAAATAGATTTATCCATGTGGTGCACAGAGAGATGTATAAAATGGTGACCCAAGTGCTATAGTGGGTAAGCCAGGGGGAGCTTCATTTTTCCATCATTTGCTGTTCATCCTTTAGATGGCCACACTCAGTCTCTCCATCCACACAGCCTCAGGTCCCTCATGATTATTCAGGTGGGACAGACAAAGGACAGAAATAATTCCACTTCATTGCGGACAATGAGTTTCTTGGGATGGATGTCGTCTGGCAGATCCAAGCTGGAGGTCATTTCCCAGGCATCCACAAAGGCCACTTGGAGACCCACAAAGGCAGCTCGAAGAAACCTGTTCACCTGGAGTGTGAGCCAGTCACTGTCATACACGGATTTGTAGCCAGTATTGGCCAGTTTGATAACCACCAGAGTACTGGGTTCCCGGTCCAGCAGGGCTTTCACAGCTGCCCGAATCCCTGTCAGTCTTTGAGCAAAGATGGATGGAGGGAAAGTGGTAAAGTGGGCTCCCACACCCAGCACCACCACCGTGTAGGGTCCTCCAGCCAGGCCATGCAGTTCTCTGGCCACAGAGTGTAGGGAGGCCACTGGGGTGCGGAGAGAGCGCAGGGGCCAGCCGTGGGCCCTCCAGTGTATCACTGTCCCCCGAGTAGTTTCCACAGCCATCAGAGGACCTGCCTGATATGTGACATGTAGATCAACTGGCTTCAGGGCTGTTGGGAGGAGGAGAAAGAAAGTATTAACATAGGGGATCAGCAAGATGGCTCAGTCAGTAAGGGTGTTGCTGCCAACCCTGATGACTTGAGTTTGAACCTCTAAGATTCGTAGAGAGAGAATCAGCTCTTACACGTTGTTCTCTGATCTTCTCACATACACTTTAATACACACACACATGCATGAGCTCACAAATATTTAAGATAAAGTCTTTTGTTGCTGGTGCTAGATTTTAACCTTCTTTGTAGCTGAGAATGGCCTTGAGTTCCTAATATTTCCGCCTCCATCTCTAGAGCACTAGGACTACACGTGTGCACTTCCACACTCACACTGAAGAAGTATTCATGTCTCCACTTACAGGTGGGACACTGAGATCCTAGAATGTTCAGTATTTTACCTTGATCACAATGATGGCAGGAGATGTGGCTCAGCTCATAGAATGCTTGCCTAGTGTGGCTAGGGCTAGTGAGATGACTCCTTAGGTAAAATTCCTGCTGTGCAAGCCTGACCACCTGAGCTCCATTCCTGGAAGGAAGGAAGAGCTGACTTCTTATTGAGAGCTGCTGGTAGCAAAAGACCGTGGGAGTATACAGCAGGTGACAACTAGTGTTCAGAAGGTCAACCTATTAGAACAAAGGGTTCTGTTAGAGGAAACTACCATACAAGGTGTTATGGAATTACTGCCTTTTGAATGAATTGGTTGTTTCTTGTTGTAAACTTCTTGTGTGATAACAGCTACAATTCTCTCCATTTACCGTGCATTTCCATGTATGTGTACATGCAATGTCATGATTGCATCTCAATCTTATGGGCTCACATATTTGTGGATAATCAAGAAGATGGTTTCTTATTTAACTATACAATTTATGTGAATAGAAACATACTAAAATATGCTTCATAACAAGGTTTATTGTTCCATGTGGACTGTAGACACCCAGAGGTCTTGTTCTTTACCCTTATCCACTGACAAAGCAAAATTGGCCAGACTAAGTGTCCTTGTAGAACTTTCACAGAGTGGAATTGCAGGTGCCTGGCATTGTTAGATGAAAACTCTTCAGAAGAATTATACTGAACCAGAAGTGATAGTGCAGTGTCTGGCCTTGGCATATCTTAGTCTTTTAAGAGATCAATAGCACATATGTTACCCTAAACTTCCTTCAATGGCCCCTCCCCACTCTGATTAAAAAAACAGTTAACACTTTGTATTTATTTCTACACCAGTGTTTAATGCAAGATTTTAGGCTCAGTAGAATAGTTATATATAGGTCCTGAGATTCAGTGACTAACAGAAAAAGGCTGTTAACTGACTAACCATGTCTGGATATTACTAATCACATAAAATAGTACATGTATTCTTTGCCTTTTCCTTAAATCGCTCATTGGTTTAGTTTCTGCCCTTGTAACCATTGTACCTATCCCTTTAAGAGATAGTCAAAACTTCTTACAACCTCCAGCTGTTGGCAGCCACCAATTAAGCTGACCAAGTCTTTGCCAAGTGTGACTCTTATCAGAACACTTGTCCTTGAGAGTTTACTTTGTAGTTTTTACGAACAAGTTGTGATTGAATGGAGATATATATATGCTTGAGGGACAAAAAAGGAGGAAGGTGGTAAGAACTAGGTAGAATAATGAGAGAACAGCAGGAGGGACTGAGATGAGCTAATATGAGAACAGAAAATAACTTGTGTAGATAGAATTGATTTAGAAGAATAAAGCGAATGGACTAAAGAACTCAGTGTGCTTAGATTCATTTCACATCCCTCAGATCAGTATCCTAGATGCTTGTAGCTTCTGTTCTGGACCCTGGTAGAATTCGTGAACTTCTCAAAGTCTGTACACACGTTCCATGACACATGCACAGCTTTGAACACACTTATTACACACACACACACACACACACACACACACACACACACACACACACACACATGCATGCATGCACGTGCGCGCGCGCACACACGTGCACGTACTCCTAGCTGGGCTTAGTGGTATATGCCTTTAATTCTAGCACTCAGGATGCTCAGGCAAGTGGATTTTGTGAGCTTGAAGCCAGCCTGATACCCATAGTGAGTTCTGGGCCAACCAGGACTACATAGTAAGACCCTGTCTCATAGAACGAAGAAGACATCACACTCCTTCACTTATCTGCCTTTCAGCAAGGCCCAGCATCCTACCATACCTTTCTACTGAGCATGGGAGTCTCCTTCAATATTTTCTGGCTTTTCCATCATGAGTCCTCACAGACCCCCCTCTCCCCTCATGGTCACTCACAGGGCACTGTGTCTCGCAGATACTCCCACCACTGCCGAAGTGTGGAATCCCCCATCATGTAGACGATGCGGCCAGCCAGGCAGTTCAGGATGCTGTCCACAGTGGGGAAAGAGTGGCTAGAACAGAACGTGGAATGCCATCTGTCTCGGTGGTAGAAGCCAGAGGGTTTTGGAGACAGGTGGCCAGGGCGGCATGGGGGCCTTGAGGGCAGGGCTATAGGACACAGAAAAGCAGAGAAGATTAAACAAACAAAAAAATGAACGTTTCATAAAATATCAGGCATTCTTTATAGTTTATTTGTATTTTTTTGCATTTGTTTATTTGTGTGCAGGTGTGTGAATGCCACAGTACACATGTGGCAGACAGAGGGCAGCTTTTGGGAGTCAGTCTTTTCCTTTCACTGTGTATGTTCCAGGGTTTGAACTCAGGTCATCAACCTTGGCAGCAAGCCCCTTTGCACACTGAACCACTTCAGTGATCCAGGCATTCTTCTACATACTTTATATGTAGCACATCAATGCACTCTTACAGACCCTGTGACGTCCTATTATGGAGTGTGTGTATGTGTGTGTGTGTGTGTGTGTGTGTGTGTGTGTGTGTGTGTGTGTGTGTGAACACATGAGTGTTTGAAACAGTCTTATGTAGCTCATAATTGCCTTTAACTTCCTATGTAGCCAAGAATGGCCTTGACTTCCTAATTCTCCTGCCTTGACCTCTAGAGTGCCGGGACTCGAGGTGTGCATCTCCACACTCATGATGTAGCCCTGTTCACATCTCTACTTATGGATGGGGACACTGAGATCTTAGGATGCTAAGTGATTTAATGTGATCAAGAACAAGGAATGATGGGCCATTCGTGGTACCCATGTCTTGGGGAGGCAGAGGCAGATGTCTATGAAGTCAAGGCCAGCCTGGTCTACACAGCAAGTTACAGACCAGCCAAGGCTATGTAGTGAGACACTGTCTCAAAACAAACTAATGAACAAAAAGAACATAAATGGCTGTAGGTGAAGCTGAGTTTATGGATGCTCACCTAGTATGTTTGATGTTCTGGGTTCAAGTCTCATCAGTGAATAAACCAGTTCTGTCAGCTTCTGGCCTGTAACTCAGGAGGTGGAGGCAAAACGATCAGAAATTTGAAGTTGTGCCCACAAGATGGCTCAGTGGGTAAAGCCATTTGGTTTACAATCCTGGAACATGAGTTCTATTCCCCAGGGCCCACATAAATGTGGAAGATGAGAACCGACTCCACAGAGTTTTCTTCTGACCTCACATGTGGGGAGCCATCCCTCACCCCTTTATTTCTACAGAGTATTCTTGAGTAGGAACATCCAGAAATATTAGCTAGAAGGATAGAGGGGAGAGAAACAGAAAATACAGAATAGCCTTGAAAGGGCCTGGATTCTAATCCATTGGGCCTCAACTTCTCTGCCCCAGAGTATTTAAAAGATGCCAAGGACTAAAGCAAAAGACCTCCCCCAGCACAGCCAAGAGCAGACCAATTCAGACCGGCTCTCAGGCCCATAGTCTAATCATCCTCTCTATGCAGACCTGCTGGGTACAGGCACTAGGAAACCTAAAAGTGGGCTCCCACACTCACACACACACACACACACACACACACACACACACACACACACACACACACACACTAATCATGGCACATATGCACCCACATCCACATCACATGTCCACATGTAAAATAATCATAAACAGATAAGTAATTTTTAAAGGACATCAAGATGTCTCCATCACCAAACTTGATGGCCTGAGTTTGATGCAGGGACCCACATGGCCGAATGAGAAAACCCATTTCTGCAAGTTGCCCTCTGACCTCCACACCTTTGCGATGCCATGCATGGCTACACACACACACACACACACACACACACACACACACACACACACACACACACAATTGTTATGGGATGTCTTTCTATATGCTATAAATATGTGTTGCTATGATTTGTTAATAAAGAAGCTGCTCTGGCCTATGGTGAGTCAGGTTATAGCCAGATAGGAAATCCAAGAGATAGATAGGAAGAAAAAAGGCAGAGGAGACACCAGACTGCCATCCTAGGAACAACATGTAATGGGATACAGGTAAAGCCATGAAACATGTGTCAAAACATAGATGAATAGAAATAGGTTAATTTAAGATATAAGAGCTAGCTAGCAAGAGGCCTGCCATAGGCCATACAGTTTGTAAATAATATTAAGCTTCCAAATGATTATTTTATATGCAGTTGCGGGGCAATGTGGCCAGGTGGGACTGGAGAAAACTTTTGACTACACACAATGTAAAAAATACTTTTTTCAATTAAAAAAAGTTCAAGTTCATCCTTGGCTACATAGCAGGTTCAAGGCTTACCTGTGTTAACTAAGACTCTGTTTCAAAAGAAAAGCACCAGATGTGGTGGAACACACCTTTAATACAAGCACTTAAAATGCAAAAGAAGGTAGACGTCTGTGAGTTCAAGGCCAACCTGCTACACACACCATGTACCAACTGAGCTAGGGCTGCATTGTGGGATCCTATCTAAAACAACAAAAAGTTCAATTGAACAACTACAAAAACCCACCCAAAACTAGCGATTAGAAGCAGTGTGAAGAGGAGATGAAATGACCCCTGCAGACCAAGGCTGTGTACTGATTCATTTCTGCATTCAGTGCTTAGGCCCCCTGTCTCCACGACACACCAGGAAAGGTTGAAGGGGAGCCAAAAGGACACAGAGTCAAGGTGCAGGGTGAGCTGCCGAAAAGATCCACATGACTGACTGTTCAACCTGCTTCTCAGAAGATAAAGCCAGAATCCCAAAAGACCCCTTCAAAGTAGGGAGAAAGTACCCAAAGGGAGAGGAGGAAAGCTGGTGTTGGCATGGAAGGGAAGAAGCAGTTCAGCTGGGAGGGTGCTCGTCCAGCATCCATGAAGCACTGGGTTTGATTCTAAGTTTGAATTTAATACCAGTGGAATAATCCTTCTGTGAAGATGTGAAGACGTGTTGATGTGAAGATGTGTTGCTCTCATTTATAATAATAAAGAGCTGATTGGTGGATGGCTGGGCAGGACTTTCGGGGCAGAGAGAATGGTGGGGAGAAGGAGGGCAGAGTTGGAGGAGACGTCATGAGATGCAGGATGAACAGCATGGGAACTAGTATATGAGGGAAACGAGCCTTGGGACAGCACATAGATGAACAGAAATGGATTAATTTAAGTTTTAAGGACTAGTTAATGACAAACTGAGCTACTGGTCAAGCATTTATAATTAATAATAAGTCTCTGTGGGGTGAATTGGGGAGTAGCTGGCGGGTCAGAGCTGATCAGTGGTCTAGCTGATCAGTAGGTCTGCCTACAAGGTGAGTCCAGACTTGAACTTCTGATCCTCCTATTTCCAGAGTGCCAAAATAGTAGGTATGCACCACACCGCCCAGTAGAAGATGGATTTACCCTTAGTGTTCTTTTGTTTTCTTTTAACTTACATGCATGTGTGTTTTTTGTCTGAGTGCCAGTGCCTGCTGGCGCCAGAAGAGGGTATTGAATTCCCAAAGGCTGAAGTCACAGGCAGTTGTGGGTCACCCAACATGAAGTTGGGAACTACACTCAGGTCTTTTGGAAGAGTAGCAAGAGTTCTTAACCTCAGAGTCATCTCTCCAGCCCCTTGCTATCTTAGTCATCTGTCCTGACATCCTTAAAGTTAAAAGTTTGTCTTCAAGGAGGTGATGGGTATGTGTCTACTACGGATTGTGGAGATGTCTTCAAGAGTTTACACTTGTAAATTCAAGACATTGTCTATATTATATAGTGTAGCTGTTTGTATGTTTATTATAACCTCCTCAATAAAATACTTTAATATTTTTTCTTTCTTATCAGTACTAGGGATGACATCCTGTGCCTTGCCCAAGCTAGGCAAGTGCTCTCCCATTAAGTCTTACCTGCAGCCTATTGAGTGGGTTTATAAGAAGTTCAATGACAGACAGGGATAGCATTTGAAGCCAGGAAACATGCTGTTACAGCCCCTGTACTAACCACTGGACCACACTTCCCTGGCAGGAAAGAGGTAAAAGTCATAGAATAAAACCCATCTGAGGACTGGGGAGATGGCTCAGTGGGAGATGTACAAGCATGTGCAAGGGTGAGGGCCTAAGCTTGCCCCCTAGAACATGTGTAAACACTGGGTGTGCAATGCCTGGAACCCAAGCACCTCGGGAGATGGAGATGGACATCCCAGGGCCTCACTGACCAGCCAGCCTAGCTTCAACAGCAGTCTCCAGGCTCAGTGAGAGACTGTCTCAAAACACAAAGAGGACCTTTATTTATGTGGCCCCATGTTTATAGTGCTAGAACACTGACCTGCTGTCTGGGTCCTTCCTGTGTATAACGGAACCCTTCCTCCAGCCTGGGGCTGATGGCTGGCAACCAGCACCTTGTCTGGCAGGAGTGGTGCCCACACATGGAAACAGCTCAAGCACCTCTCTCAATGACCGTCCATTTAGGGATTAGAGGATGTTTGGGATGGGTTGGATCTTCCAAGGCTGGACACAGGCATCCCAAGGCCACATGGTTGGCCACTTGGATCCTTGTGCCTGGAGCTCTAGGCCCACTCTTGCCTCCTCTAGTGGCACTGGGGTACTCCGGGCCAAGAGCATAAAGCAACTCTGGGCAATGTTCTTTAGTGACTGAACAAAGTTTCCACAAAAACTTCATCTAGAGAAAGAGAGAGAGAGAGAGAGAGACTCTCATGTGGACTCTCAAGTACCACCTGAAGCCAGATGCTGGGGAGGACCTGGGATCCAGGTGTCCCTTACTTCTTTGACAGAGGCACCAATGCCTTCCATCTCTTCCTTTCTGAGGAAGTAGCAAGGGGGAGGCTGGGTCCCTCTGAATCCTGTGAGTGCTTGCTTAGTCAAGGCCATTATGAAAACATGGTCCTGGGAACCTCTATACCAATAACATGTGCACTGGCCCTCCCCTGCTTGCTGGCTGTGGCCTGAAAGATCGGAAATAGCTGCCTCCTGCTTGAGCTCTGTCCACCGCCACCCAGTCACCCTTGGGCTGGATGGACCCCAATTCTCCTCTCTAATCATTATCAGTTAACAAATCACTGCCAACTGAAACCACTTTCCCTGCAGAAAAAAAATCATAATACAACTTAAATGAAATAAAATATGATAGAAAACAATTGGGGAGAACATTCTGATCTGTACCTGGGCTCAGATACTTCTTCACAGAAGAGTGAACCCATCCATACCTATACAACACACACACACACACACCCATACAACACACACACACCAAATCAAAAAGCCTCCAATCCATCTCAGGTGATGACGATCCCTACCACCACCTTTATATTACAGCTTCACTCACCCACATTCCTAATCATCCCAGGAGCTGCTGGTGTCACCAGGATTGGAGATATGCCTGAAGGGAGTGGCTGGTCAGTCACATTCCTGAAGAAACACTGAGTGTGAACTTTGAGGGAGGTTGACCAGGTGAAAATTTGATTTTCAAGAGCATACCATGATTGACTGGTTGTCTCTCCTCTGCCTAATCTCAGGTCACTACAATCTAGTGAGCACTGACACGGCAATTGTAACAGTTAGGAGAAATACACAACAAAGAGAACAATCTTATCAGTTCAGTAATAGTCAAGGTAACCAAAGGGCCATGTAGTTCTCCTTTGTAATAAACGGAGTACCACAGCAAGTGAGAAGGTATAATTTCCCCAGCACTAGAGTCTAGAAAGAACATTAAATTTTGTTATTGTTGTTACACAAACAGTCAGTAGGGAATATAACAATACCTCCCACCCCACTCAGACCCTGATTGCCTTTTTGACACACGAAGTAATGCTCATGTATCCCAGGCTGGACTTGTAGTCACTATGCAGCCAAGGATGTCCTTGAACTCTTGAGTTTTCTGCCACCATTACAAGGTCACCCTCAACCACACGAGGAACACAAGAACTCTGAGCTGCAGGAATTTCTAAATAATGATGTCAGTGGGATGGTTCAGCATGTAAAGGTGCTCGCTGCCAAACCTGACAAACTGAGTTTGATACCTGGTCCCACATGAAGGAAGGAGTGAACTGACTTCCTCAAGTTGTCTTCTGACCTGCACATAGCTCTGGTTAGGATTGGGACACATGCACTATTCTAGATTTCTTACCCGGCCAGCAGGTCTTCATCATGTGGTGTGGTCACGTTCAGGTATCTTCCACTCGAGTGGCCGACTAAAGCATTGCAGGGTAAAGTAGAGGGTTGAGCACAGAACCAGTCCTCCCCAGAAACCACATCCCTGTACTGGCAGGTGGGCCCTTTGGCTCCAGTTGACTGGGGGTCCACATTGCAGATAACAGTCTCTTGAGTGCCGTTCCTTCCTCGGAAATATCCTCTAAAGTCAACAGTGGCCCGTTTTTCTCTCCAGATTCTCTGCAGGACCCCAACTGCCTCGCTGGAGTGGATCAGCCTCACTTGCACCTGAGCCCATCCAGCCCAGAGCAGAGGGAAGGACAAGAGGTACCTGCCATTCTCCAGATCCTTCACCTCCCCTGGGACTCCTGCTTTCAATTCCCGGCCCAGGAGCTTTGCCCGAAACAGATCTCCACCATGAGTCTTGGGCCTACCTTGGTGATCCCTAGCCACAAGGATGGCCTCTAGATTACTTCCCAGAGTATAGCTGGCCTGCACAGGACCTTTCAATCTGTAAGTGGAGGTTTTGGGGCTGGTAGAAGCCAAAAAGTGATCCCTGTCTCCACTAGTTGGGGGCCAATAAGGAAGGCTTGTCAGGTTGGTGAGTTCTTTTAAGAGAGTGTCCCAGTCGTTGGGCTCAGAGACATATTCAGAGGCATGATGGAGTCGTGGGAGCCAATGGTTCATGCGCTCAGGCCAACACATCATGAGATAGAACACCTGTGGGTAAAGAAAGAGGAATATACCAGTGTGGTGTATGTGCCATATTTTTTTCCTGGAAGGAGGTATTGCATTTGGTCAGGTAGCACCTAGGAGTCCTACCTGCTTGTGTCATTCTGTCTGTCATTCATAAGCCTGGCATTTGAGTCACCATGACCTTTCTTTGAAATAAGCAACTCAGGATGGGATGATACTGTTACTAGACTATCTGGGGAGTCCCACTGGAGTGGCCATATGTTACCAAAAATGTTGGGGTTCTTACTGTGCTGTGGGATGTTCTGTATGCTGTGAATGTGGTGCTCTGATTGGTTGATAAATAAAAAGCTGATTGACCAGTAGTCAGGCAGGAAGTGTAGTCAGGATAAACAAACAAGGAGAATTGTGGGGAGATGAAGGCTGAGTCAGTCGACGTAAGTTTGCCATCCAAGGAGCAGCATGTAATGGCTCACAGGTAAACCACAGAACATGTGGTGACATAGAGATTAACAGAAATGGGCTGAGTTTAAATGTAAGAGCTAGTCAGTGGTAGGCCTGAGCTAATGTCCAAACAGTTTTACTAAATATAAGCCTCTGAGTGATTATTTTATAAGCGGCTGCGGGGTCTATGTGACTGGACAGGACCGGAGAAAACTTAAACTACAAATTCACCCAACATGGGGCATGAACCGACGACAACGACGTTATTAGTCATATTCAATATCTTTTAAAAGAAGAAAGGGGTATATGATATGAAGATATAGGATATAGATCTGATAGGATAAAAGGATGGATTGTTGAACTTTCTTTTAAAGAGCAACTTATTTAAAATGTTTTATATTGGTATAGGTTTTAGTTTATTGATACAAATTTAAAGTTAATTTTTTAATTCTTTTTTTATTTTATAATTTAATTCAATTTTATATATCAGCCACGGATTCCCCCATCCTCCTCCCTCCCACCCCCCCTCCCCCCAGCCCACCTCTCATTCCCACCCCCCCCCAGGGCAAATACTCCCCTGGGGATCCAGCTCAACCTGGCAGACCCAGTCCAGGCAGGTCCAGTCCCCTCCCCCCAGGCTGAGCGAAGTGTCCCTGCATAAGCCCCAGGCTCCAAACAGCCAACTCATGCACTAAGGACAGGTCCCAGTCCCACTGCCTGGGAGCCTCCCATACAGTTCAAGCCAATCAACTGTCTCACTTATCCAGAGGGCCTGATCCAGTTGGGGGCTCCTCAGCTATTTGTTCATAGTTCGTGTGTTTCCATTAGTTTGGCTATTTGTCCCTGTGCTCCCTTCAATTTTGGTCTCAACAATTCTTGCTCATACAATCCCTCCTCCCTCCCACCAATTGGACTCCTGGGCCTCCACCTGGGGCCTGGCCATGGATCTTTGCGTCCGCTTCCCTCAGTCATTGGATGAGATTACCAGCATGACAGTTAGGGTGTTTGGCTATCCTATCACCAGAGTAGGTCAGTTCGAACCTTCTCCCGACCACTGCCAGCAGTCCATTGTGGAGGTATCATTGTGGATTTCTGGGGACCTCTCTAGCACTTTGCTTCTTCCTATTCTCATGTGGTCTTCTAAAGTTAATTTTGTTATACTTTATGTATATTTCTACTCTTGTTTAAGGTATTATGTTTATATGACTCATTTAGATTGCAATGGATAATTAAAAAATACAGATTAATAATTAATCTTCTATGATAGTCAAACTTATAGTGATGTTACATTTTCTAGGTATACATAGATATAATTCAGTTACATAGGTAATCTTCAAACACTTCAAAGACCTACAGAATGCGACATTTAAAATGTTTTAAAAACTTAGACTTTCTGGACAATGAGACACGTCTGCTCCTGGCAGCACAAATTTACTTCAGAGAGAAAGATGGGCATCAAAGACACTCCAAATGGAGTTTATCTTCTTCTTGGCAATAATAGCCATTTGGGCAAGAGGCTGCTCTTGCCTGGACTGCTGATAAAATGTTGTATTGACTGGACAATACAGGACCCATAGGTAGGTAACCATTGAATTTTGCAAGGTGAGATGGTCCTTCAGGTTCCTGCTTCACAGAGGAAACTGCCAGACATTCTACAGGACACAGAGAAAAGTAACTGAGAGACTCTAGGCCTGTGGGCTGAAGATGGATCCCCCAACATTACAGAAGAACTTTGGGTGACTGTCCAGGTAACCAGCTGTCTCTGTCATCCTAGATTTTTGGAAGTTGCTTACAATGATCTTCCTGTTTGCTTAGGTAATATTGTATCCTTCTGAAGTCTTTGATGTAGTTGAAGACTAGATAGTTATAATTTTCCTTGGTTATGATAAAAGATAAATTAGATATAAAAACTTTAGACTCACAAATATAGGATAGACAGAATATCTTCTTTAATTTTGCCAAATACAAATAGATTAAATGTTATAACTGAAATTCTTGCTTGATAACTGTTTTGTTGTATGTAATTTTACTATGTTAAAGTTGAACCCTTCCTTTTTTTTTGTTTGAGACAGGGTTTCTCTGTGTAGCTTTGGTGCCTGGTGGATCTCGCTCTGTAGACCAGGTTGGCCTCGAACTCACAGAGATCCGCCTGCCTCTGCCTCCCGAGTGTTGAGATTAAAGGCATGCACCACCACTGCCTGGCAAAACCCTTTCTTTTTGATTAGATAGAAAGGGGGAGGTCCTTTGGGATGTTCTGTATGCTGTGAATGTGTTGCTCTGATTGGTTGATAAATAAAAAGCTGATCAGCCAGTAGCCAGGCAGGAAGTATAGGTGGGATAAACAGACAAAAAGAATTCTGAGGAGAGGAAGGCTGAGTCAGTAGACGCAAGTTCACTGTCCAGGGAGCAGCATGTAATGGCACACAGGTAAAGCCACAGCATACATGATGACATATAGATTAACAGAAATGGGCTGAGTTTAAATGTAAGAGCTAGTCAGTGGTAGGCCTGAACTAATGGCCAGTTTTAATTAATATAAGCTTCTGAGTGATTATTTTATAAGCAGCTGTGGGGTCTGTGTGGCTAGGCAGGACCAGAGAAAACTTCAGCTACATTACTGTGGTTCTTTTCTTTTTTAATGTTTATGTGTAGGAGTGTTTTGCTTGCATGTATATATGTGTTCCATGTCCATGCCTGGTACTGAAGGAAAGCAGAAGAGAACTTTCGATACCTACAGAGTTAAAAATGGTTGTAAGCTGTCATGTGGGGGGTGTGAACCAGGTCCAGAAATCTGTAAGGGCAGCCAGTGCTCTTAACCACTGAACCATTTCTCTAACTTCAAATAAAAAGGCCAGAATGTGTTTCCATCTTAGACACAGGAACTATCCCATTGTAAATATTGACCTAAACCAGAGTTCAGGAAATCCCCCAGCCAAATTTGACCAATCAGCCAAACAGTTTCAAGCCTTGTCTTATGAAGCAGAAAGACACAAAAGTTACAGGATATGGCTGTTACTGACCATACAGGACTAAAAAGCCCACCATGGGTGGAATTTTAATAGCCCCATCTAGCCCTGTCCAATTAAAATGCACCTCATGCAAGTGCTTCCAGAATGCCCAATTAGAACAGAGATACTTAGAATTCCCAAGTCTCCTTTAAAATGTACTGGGTGCCATTATCCTGGGTCATCATCGACATTTTGTGGGGATAATCATCAACCCCTGCCTGCTGGTTTTTCCTGCAGAATAAATGCACTTTGTATTTGCATATTATTTGAGTGTGGGGTCTTCCTTCAGTGATTCTCAGACCCTTACAAAATGCCTCAGGTTTTTTCTTTTTAAACTCTGTGTGTATGTGTGTGTGTGTGTGTGTGTGTGTGTGTGTGTGTGTGTGTGTGTGTATGTATGTAAACACGTGAATTCACTCATGTACTTGCACACTATAGCCTGCATGTGAAGGTCAGAGGACAATTTGTAAGGTCATTTCTCTCCTTCCACCATTTCCAGGGTACCAGATTGAGGTCATCAGGCTTGGCAACTAGTCCCCTTACCTGCTGAGCCATCTTGCTGATCCCAGTGTTGACATTATCTGACATGCTGGAGAACAGTAGCATTGATGCTTACAGACTCTGTAGACCCAAGAACTTAAAAATCTAAACTGGCAGTGGCGAGACAGAACCAAGGGAATCTCATCGTGTACATTGATGGATCATGAGGCTTGAAGGTAGGTAGGACTAAGAAAATGGGGTTAAGGAGGGTCAGGAAATGCATTGTTTGAGAGTTTACCTAAATAGTAGGCTCATGGGTATGGAAAGTACATACTACAAGTATATAAATGCTACTCAAGTTGACATGTACATTACATACACTGAGGATCAAAATCCTAATCCCTTGTATGTGTGTTTGTAAATTATAAGATGATTATGACATTTGTAAGCATGATATAAGACCAGGTATAGCATATTTGTGGTTCCAGCACTTGGGAGGCCTGGGCAGGAAGATCAGTAGTTTCAGGTCATTCTTGGCTAAAGGACAGCCTTTGTGGAGGAGTGGAGGAAGGCCTGGGTGAATGTGTGTCCCGAGTGGATGTGTGCTGTTGACATGGGCACAGTCACGTCAAGGACCCCAATGTCTCAGACCTATGGGAAACTGGTAAAGCCTTCCCCATGCTAGGCTCAGGGAAATGGCAAAGCCTTCCCTCCTGGTCTGAGTGTAAATGTTGATAGTGTGTGTCCACCTTTGCTTCCTCCTCTAAGATGTTTACTGCCTGAAAACTGCTCCCTTACAGACACGGACTCTACCAATATTTGCTAAACCTGCTTCCTTGTTGAGCAAGATACTATAAACCCACCTCCCTCTTCAGCTGTATATAATAAATTTGGTGATCTCTCTCCCTGCTGCAGCTTCACCACCAGAGCCCAATCAATTGGATCTCAGCTTTTCTGTGTGCCCATGTGTTTATCATTTATTCATTTCCTCCCCACCTAGTCATATTAGTCCCTGAGGCTGTGTATGGATAGATATGAAAAGCCTGGGGAAACTGGGGACTGTCACAAACAAAAACAAACAAACAAA